ATATATATATATATATATATATATATATATAATGTATATGTGTGTGTATATATAAACACTTTATAAATCCTTAATAACTTCTTATTGTGCATTAATTAGGTGTGACAGAGAGACAAAACTGTCCAGTTTCTTGCCAAATAGTGAGTAAAATCTGTTCATCTATATATTTCATCTAGAGTTGTTATATTAAACATTTCAGACTAAGTTACTACCTTTTAAACACAATAAGTATTTGTACACCTTTTTTTTAGAATATATTTTACTTTATCATCACGTTATAAGTATCTACAATTAATTTCATATCCTAAAAAAATAGGTTTACAAATGCTTATTGTGCTTGCAGGGTAGTAACTTAGTCTTAAATGTTTAATATAACAACTCTAGATGAAATATATAGGTGAACAGATTTGGCAAGAAACTGCTCAGTTGTGTCTCTCGGTCACCTTTAATTCATGCTTAATAAACAGTTATTAATGATTTATAAAGTGTTTATAAAGAAATTAATAACATATCTATAAAATATTTATTAGTCATCTATAAGGGGAGCTTTATTGTAAAGTGGTACTGAGTAGGGTGATAAAAATAAGGAATTAGGCAAATGGTTAAAGATCACAAAGTTGAAAATGACAACATAAAAAAAAAGTGGTAAGTTTCAGTGAAACACTAAAAAGAATAGTTTACTTTCAACTGGGACTGGCAGATATGAAAGTTTAACACAACTAGAAATATGTGACACACTATGATGATTAAAAAAGAAAGAAAAAATCATCTCTGTGCTAAACAGCCTTGAGTCAACATTTTTAGTCACTTCTTCCTGACTTAATGAGTCCTGAACTGAAACACTACAGCTGAGGGTACTTTGAGGTTGAAGTACATAAAGAGTGACATCTGAAATGATCAAAGCCACAAACTACAGAAGTAGAACACACCTAAGAGTAGTACTCATAGACGTTTGCTTTTTAATTTTGTTTAAACAACGATCCTGAAGGCTAAATTCTAAACTAACAACACACACAAAAAAAAAAACATTTTTATTTCAAATGAGGGCAAACAGATTGTAATTCTCTTAGTAGTCACTGACTAAGAAAATGAGTATTTGACATATGAACTGCAGTCTAGATAGACTTGTTCCCTAAATAAAACTTAAAAACTAGTTGAATTCTGACCCCAAATAATTAAAATTGTGGAAGCAGATTAAACAGATTAAAGTAAATGTATGAAATGTGCAATATTCAGTTTCATCTGGTGCATATTTACCCTTAAACTTTGTCTAAAATGTATTCACTCATGCAGTATTCTCTGTCATCCCTCGCTTTTGCACTACCCCCCAAAGCCTTCGTTTTGAGTTCCCTCTCCCACCGTTCCTCTGCCCTCTCTTGCCTGTGATGGCTATAGATCGGATATGAGCCAATTAAAGGGGCTGCAGGGGTTCTGGAGCACTGGGCTCCCTGGGAGACGAGGCAGATCACAGATTGATCTTTCATTAGGGGGCCGTGGCAAATGTGCCAACAAGGCACCTCGCTCCTTTAAGTTCTCTTTTGGATCATGACACTCCAATCTAATGTGTTTCTGCTAGCTAGGAGAAGGGAGCTAAAGTGAGAAAGATGGACATAGAGAAAGTAAAATAAGCAGGGACAGGGAAGATGCTGCTGCAAAGTGTATGGAAACAACAACAACAACAACAAAAGCTCCATGTGCCTCATTCTGTACACAATGAGCCATTTAGTGGTTACTGCCACCTTTGTTTAGTGCTAAGCATTGTGGTCCTGTTTAGGGGCACCTGGTGTGTGAATGGAATGAGTGTGAAAATGGAGATGGCTGTGCCATGAATATGTGCAACAATGATTGCAGATTAAAGAATAACTAAGGATATGTGGAATAATGAAAACTTCAGATATTCACATCAAGGTCTAGCATTATAGTATAGATCTAGTATTGTAGTAGGTGTAGTATTAGAGGTCTAGTATCATAATATAGGCCCGATTGTTAAATATGTTTGTATACATATGTATACACCTATACATTTGTTTACAGCTTATTTATTAACAATAGCATGCAGAAGGGTAAGACAATGTTATAAAAATTCATTTACCACCATTATAACAAAAAACACGTATGTTTACCATTTAATATTTAAGCAAAATTTGATGTATGATCAAGAAGGATGTTTTATATACTCAGCATTTTTAGAATCATAGGTAGACCTGCCTCAAGATTGTATGTAGGCTAGTCATTTTAGGCTTCAATCCTAACATGCAAGCATTATACACATCATTGTATAATGTATACCTCATTTGTTTTGTTTTTTTGTTTAAAACTGGTTTCTTGTACATTATTAGTGTTAACCTTTATTTAACCAGGCATATCCTATTGAGGTCAGAGATGCCTTTTGCAAGGGAGGCCTGGGCCTGAAGGCAGCCTAACATGCATACTTTTGATCTGTGGAAGGAAACCAGAGTACCCGGAGAAAACCATACAAAAGCGCAAGAATGACATATAAACTCCACACAGAAAGACCACAGGTCCAATCGGGGATTGAACTTAGGACCTCCTTGCTCTGGGGCAACAGTGCTAACCACCGAGTCTTATTGAGTCACAATGACTCATTTTGTCTAACATGTATAAATAAAGGTTTAATGAATTAATTATAACAGCATTTGACAAGTCTGTCTTTTCTCGGATTAGAAATAGTTACATCATGAACCATCAAAAACTCTTAAAGCTGCACAACAGTCCAATTTTCTAAAATTGATAACCTCCATTACTGGCTTCACTGTCGTTTGCCCCCTGACAATCCCACAAACCGTGAGCCGTATTAGGTATGCGGTGCTAAACAAAGATGGCGGTATCTGAACACGTCCCAAGTGGTCAGATGTATATGATGTACATACATGTATATATCAGTCCTCTGTTCCTACATTTGCTTTATTTCACTTCCTTGCTTTTGCAGTGCTAGTGAAGACTGCAGCATGCTAAGTAGGTCTGTGAACCATCTTGCGTATTTGACCTGCAAGGACAGTCGGCTGAGGAGGGGGAGCTAATAGCTGTGGGACGGCACTGAGGTCATTAAACACAAAGGCTGAAACATGGGCTAAAAACTTTCAGCCAGGAAGATCCACAGGGATCTGGCCCAGGTTCCAGGAGGGTCCATCACACACTCGTATCAAAGAATAACAATATGCAAACTGAATAATCTCTCAAGTAAAAGACAGGCAAAGTAATTGAATAGGTAGTTTTGTGTATATATATATACATATGTGTGTGTGTATTTTTTTTAGGTTGTGCTATTCCAAGCTTTTACTAAAGTGATTCACAAAATTTAATTTGGCTTTGTACAAGGTCAGTTTATTTAGTATTGTTTAACCTAACCAAAGAAACTGAAATGTCAATGTTTGACAGTGTACACCTCTGTCAAGTCATCACACAAAAACTAGTGACAACTTGCTAATTATTAAAAGGAAAAATCTTAATGTGTTAACTAAAACAAAACAGACCAAGCTTTGAAAACTAACACACAGGCAGAAAATGAGCATTGTACTTTCTGACTACAAATGGGAGCCTAAATGGTGCAGGGGCAGTCCACTCGGGACCCGAATGTCCCCGGTTCAATCCCCGGTAATTGCACATCTCGTGGTGTCTCTGAGCAGGACACCCCATCCCCAGTTGCTCCCCAGGCGCCTCCAAAGGTCGCCTACCGCTCCACCTGGTGGTGGATGAGTTAAATCCAGAGAGCCGATTTTGCCATTGTATGGGAACATACAATGATGACAATACATACACATTATTATTATATTACGTCTTTACAATTCAAATCATCACAGTGCTCAGTAACATGTCACATGTTGTGTAGGTAACCTGTACCTTTTAAATATCTGACATCAGCTACACAGCTCTGGGTATGTTAAGATTGGACTTTGAGCAGATTTGATTTGGAACACCATCAATTGTTAAGATGACTGCACTCATAAAATCAATTAAATGTATCCTAATTCCACACAAAACCAACCTGAATTCCTGAGCCCTCAGGAACGGTGATCTTCCACACACAGTTGAGACTGTTGAGGTATGGCTCAGGGAAGCCTGGAGATAAAATGGTGCTAGTTCTTTGGGTCAGATTCCCTCCGCATGGTACTGTGGAAACAAAAGTAGAGTGTTGGCTGCTAAGTTATAATGAATATGTAATTTGGGCTTTAAACTGCATGTAAAACAATAGAGTTAAAGTGTTCACACATCTGCACATTAAGGTACAAGACAGTTTAAACAATATGTTAGGGAATACGTCATAACTGTTCACAATATTTTTGAAACAGAGGTCATTAGAAGGTCGTAGAACTGTTTTCAAATTGTTATATACAATCTGGAGTAATATATAGCAAACTGTGATATAAATATAACAGTTAGAAGCTTAACTTGGATGCTTTAGGGAAAATCAAGAGTACTGTGCATGGCACAATATATGCCCATGGACAAATTATTATACAGCAATACAGCAATCTATAGTAATGGCCAAAACAAGCATAGACATGCTATAACTTTTGAACCTAATTTGTGACCTTGACCTTAGAGCTGTGGCAATGAAAATAACACATGACACACCGATGGTGGTATACATGTGTATCAATTTCCATTATACTGTTTAGAGTGGATCAGAAGTTGTCGGTGGAACAAGCAAAGGCCTTGTTTTAACTTTGACCTTGATTTGTGACCTTTACCTTGGAGTTGGGGAGCTGGAGTGGCGAATTATGTCTGTGAGATTCCATATAGAGATGGCGTTATAAGTATTGTGAGCAGATCAGAAGTCTAATTTTTGAGTCAAAGTCACATCTGCTGCCAGCAGCTGCTTTTCTTGCACTCTGTAAGTGAGGATCATGTGTCTTTGTAAATATTGTACATGCTGATATCACCATATGTGTGAGTGTATGTCTGTGTTTCTGTGACCCTGAGCAGAGTCTGCCACCTGTGTACCACATGACTGCATTTGTCTGCATCGCTACAGGCAATGGCTCACTGCCTGCATCTGTGTAAAATCAGGAGTTTAAGACTCATGGCATCAAACAGGAGCCAGAGACAGAGGAAGGGATGATGGAAAAAATGAAAGCAGATGAGCAAACAAATGAAGTTGAAAGAAATCAATAATCGGGTGCGAAAAAACACAGAAGCTGGCTTGTAGCTATGTTTATCTACCTTTGTGTGTATACTATTAATACTATTTATGCATTTATTATGGGAGTGGAGGAGCAGAGGTTAGATAAAGTGGACCTATGATCGGAAGGTTACCGGTCCAACTCCCCAGACCGACAACATCAAAACGAGTATGGGAAAGTGAAGCACCTACACCTGTCTCTAACCCCATTTTCCCCACTCTGGGCCCTTGAGCAAGGCTTTTAACTCCCACAATCTGCTCCCCCTGGCACCCTCAATGGCATCTCTCTTCTCCACACAGAGGGCTGTGGTAGCTCAGTGGTTGCATCAGGAAGGGCATCCAGTGTCAAAACAATTGTCAAGTCTTCATGCGAGTTAGTTCGCTGTGGCAACCCCTGAAGAAGGGGGCAGCTGTTAAGAAGATGTATTCCTTACCTATGCAGCTGGGTATGGAGCTGTTCCACTGAGCCAGGGCATTGGGAACTGTTAAACACTCAATGGCACTCGAACCTTCCAGCACGTAACCTGGGCTGCACTCGAAGCGGACCACTGCACCAACACCAAAGTTGTTGCCCATGCGGCGACCGTTTCGGGGCTCTGGGACTGAACTGCACTGGGTAGCACTGGTCCGTGGCACAGCTATGTACAGAGAAAAATATAAAACCATTCCAGTTTGGGTGGTGACACATGTTATGCTAATCTATGTTTACTGTGACCTTCAAAGTGGAAAGTGTGTTAAGACTGAGTTGCAATTCAGAATGAAGTTAAATTTCATTGATGCCATTTCTAATAAATTGAACATTTTTATCATTATTATATGCTTTTCCAATTATTGTTAGTCATTGTGTATAGTTTGTATCTATTGTATATTAGTATCTGCTTGTTTGAAGTTAAACTTGATATCAATTACAATCACGTTGTAATGAGTGTATGTAATCTCAAAAACACTTTATGTTTCAATAAAGTATCTTGGATATATCACAGAGCTCACTAAACATATCATTTTATTTAGTTATATCTAATTGTTTATGCATATGAAAGACGTTTACTATTAGAAATAATTCAAATATTTAACACAAAAAGCAGCTGACAACAAAAAAGCTCTTGGACTGCCTTTGGATATCTGCTGTAAATGTAACTACTGCAACAGAGCTTTGGTTAAAGAAAAGAGTAATTTCAAACAAAATATGTTCTTCAGCAAAACCTTTTATCCAGCAAGTGGTTGACACATTGACTGCGGCTAAATCAATCAAACTAAGGTCTTCCAGTACAAGAGATGGACTGAGGGTGTTTGAGGAGAGAATCTAAAAAAATGAAACAACAACACAATGCAGAGCAATTTATTTGTGTGTGTGTGTGTATGTGTCAGGATGTTACACACTCACCCTGGTAGACCAGATGGAATCCTCTAGAGCTGGACTGGCCTTTGGCAGTAAAGCGGATCAGGATTTGGTTGGAGGTTGCTAATGGCAACGACTCACCTGAGAAGAAAAAACGATTGAAAACAAATTTTGAAATATGTATATATATATATATATATATATATATATTTTTTTTATTTTTATTTTAGCAAAGTGCTACTTTCAGATTAACAAACAGTGAGTGCAAGTAGTAGCCGTGTTTTCAAGTATTACTCAGACAACTTTCAAAAATGCAAAGCCTTCTGATACTACTTAGCACCTACGTGATTACTAATTTTCCTTCTAAGAACTTTGAATAAAAAACGGGGATTGTACTGCAAGTCACAGAAAATTGTATATATTTGACTGTATTGTTTGTTTACAGAGATACAGAACATACAATTGTGATTTTATATATGTATAGTAGGATGTCAATCATGCTGTTACACCTTTTTTTGTTTGTTTATTTATTTATTTTTACCCTACAACATGATTAAATAGATTTTCAATTTGATTTTAGGTAAATTATTTACACAAAATATATCAAGTTATTAAATAGGTGCAACATTTCACAAACAATACTGTAAAAAAAGATAAAAACGAAAAGGGGCATGTGCATATGTTTTCACCACCTTTTCCATTAAAGCCCCAACCATAACCAATATATTATTAATTATATAAAACATTAACAAATGCTTCTAACATCAGAAAATCTTTGAATTTGATTTGTCCAACTATAAATATAATCAATGTTATAAGAAATAATTACTGACTTTTAGAAATTAGAGTTACATATTCCATATGCCCAGACATACTACTTATGCAACAGTTTGTGATGCTCTGTTAGTGTATACAAATGCATGTGTAGGAAATGGACATCTATTCAGTTTATATGAATAATATGTTACTGTCATGCAATAAATTAGTTACTTTTGGTGCAAACAGGAGAAGGAGCCCAGTTGATTCAGCCTATTACAAGTTCTGTCTTTAGGCTAGGACATTGCAACACAAACATCTTTTTGTAATCTGTTCTTTTTTTTTTTAAATCCCTGCAAACAAATGGATTTTAAATCTTGAGCTAATTTTTGTTTTTAAGCTCACAATATCACCTAATGAGAAGGTCATTACTGAGGCATTTGCATTTGATTTAGAAGAGTGTGGCAGGTGGAAATTAGAAGCAGCGACCACTTCCTCTGTGGTTGTACTTCACTGCTACACAATCAAATTCAAAGTTTTTTTATTTTTATTTATTTATTTATTTTTTTTTTATTAACCTGCTGCTCAGAGCTCTCCATAATCAAGCAACTGCTTATGTTAACGACATATTTTAGAGAAAAGGATTGAAGGTCACCTGAACAGAACAGATGAGCTGACTGTCATGGGTGCAAATTCAGGCTTTTTATTGTAGCTCGATTTGCAACACTGCAAAAGACTTGGAGTGTTATTTTTTTCATTAAAATAGCCTGGACACTTTGTCGTCATGGATTGAAAGCTTAGTTGTATTCTTTGTTTTTTGAGAATAAAGTGAGTTTGTAACTCAGAAGAAAAAAGGTTCATAATTTTTTTTTTCTGCAAGATGCCAAGCACTCATAATACTAAAAAATAAATTAATAAATAAAATCTTATTATAACTCATTTTGGATTGTTTACTAACATAGAAACCCTAAAAAAATAAAAAAAATAAAAAAAGTTATTTTCGTACATTAACATCCTGAGTCCCGAGATCCTGTGTCCTCATATGCGGACATAGATTTTTTTTGAGAACTGATTATCATAGGAAGCAGAAATTTCATTTTTGAAGTAACTGGAACATTCTTACCATGATTTACAAATAATGTATATACATAAATGCATAAGTAAACCTACTGTCCTCATATAAGGACATATTATTTTTGCCCCAAAACTACTTCCTGTACCATGACTGTCTAGGTATTTAACTTATTAGGTCCTATTAAGCCCATGTAGTAGTCCCTCGCTACTTTGCGGTTCAACTTCTGTGCAATCATGCTATCGTGATTTGTTAACTTACAGTCCATATTATTCTAAAAAAATCCAATTTGTACAGGACGCATAACTGTAAACTATATTATTACTCACATGATTGGGACAGTACTGGATACAGTACGGTTCAGTAAAAGGTTAACAAAAAAAATACAATCCTTTGGACAGGCACCACCATTTTTGTAGTTTTCTCTGAGTAATTCTACACTGTATTCCTGCTCATAACGACCACATTTCCCTGAAGGCAACAGGGCCCCACCCAGAAGCCCCATTTTCTTCTGAAAAACTAGAGGTAAAGTTTTGTTCTAATTGGCGACCAGCAGATGCAGAGAAGCCGCACTGAATCCACGGAACCGGACCAGAAACGGACCAGAACCAGACCTTCAGACCCATTGGTGAATCTTGAGAGCTGGTAGTTGGCCCACGAGGACTCCCAAGTGGGGACGTGCGCCGAGAGGTCCGGAGCTGTTTTTGTGGAACATTGGGACTTTTTCCATCTAGACTTGGACTCCAATCTATCACCTACAGTCCCACGTCAGCTAGTTGAAGCCCCCTCCAGCCCCCCCTGTCCCACCACCGCCCCCCCCTCGGCAGTCGCCCCACCCTTAAAAAACGGAACC